ACTGTGTGGTCAATAGTTGTCTCCTACATTACTTACACAGGCTGAGTGGTCAATAGTTGTCTCCTACATTACACAGACTGTGTGGTCAATAGTTGTCTCCTACATTACACAGGCTGAGTGGTCAATAGTTGTCTCCTACATTACACAGGCTGTGTGGTCAATAGTTGTCTCCTACATTACTTACACAGGCTGTGTGGTCAATAGTTGTCTCCTACATTACACAGGCTGAGTGGTCAATAGTTGTCTCCTACATTACCCAGGCTGTGTGGTCAATAGTTGTCTCCTACATTACTTACACAGACTGTGTGGTCAATAGTTGTCTCCTACATTACTTACACAGACTGTGTGGTCAATAGTTGTCTCCTACATTACTTACACAGGCTGTGTGGTCAATAGTTGTCTCCTACATTACACAGGCTGTGTGGTCAATAGTTGTCTCCTACATTACTTACACAGACTGTGTGGTCAATAGTTGTCTCCTACATTACTTACACAGGCTGTGTGGTCAATAGTTGTCTCCTACATTACACAGACTGTGTGGTCAATAGTTGTCTCCTACATTACACAGGCTGAGTGGTCAATAGTTGTCTCCTACATTACTTACACAGGCTGTGTGGTCAATAGTTGTCTCCTACATTACTTACACAGGCTGAGTGGTCAATAGTTGTCTCCTACATTACTTACACAGACTGTGTGGTCAATAGTTGTCTCCTACATTACTTACACAGGCTGAGTGGCTGAACCCTTCAATAAACATTTTGCCTCCATTAACTAAAGCAGCAAAAGAAATGACCTGGACAGGGGTCTACTGAGTGTTCTGAAAGGAAAAGAGAGAGATTTGATGACACCGAGTATCTTCCAAGACTTCTTAACTAAGCGAGAGTTGGACTGCAATCCAGAAACTAAAGAAGCAAAAAAGCCCAGGTCCTGATAAAGTCCACAATGAGATGCTACAAAACCTTGGTGAAAAAGTCAAATTGCTACTTGTTAAGCTCTACAACAGAACATGGACTGAGGGAAGTCTGCCTAAAGCATGGAAACTAGCTACTATAAACCCACTCTTACAGAGAGGAAAGAAGGCCAATGACTGCCTAAAGCATGGAAACTAGCTACTATAAACCCACTCTTAAAGAGAGGAAAGAAGGCCAATGACTGCCTAAAGCATGGAAACTAGCTACTGTAAACCCACTCTTAAAGAGAGGAAAGAAGGCCAATGACTGCCTAAAGCATGGACACTAGCTACTATAAACCCACTCTTAAAGAGAGGAAAGAAGGCCAAGGACCCTAAAAACTACCGCCCAATATCACTTACGTCCTGTATTGGAAACTACCGTCCAATATCACTTACGTCCTGTATTGGAAACTACCGTCCAATATCACTCACGTCCTGTATTGGAAACTACCGCCCAATATCACTCACGTCCTGTATTGGAAACTACCGCCCAATATCACTTACGTCCTGTATTGGAAACTACCGCCCAATATCACTTACGTCCTGTATTGGAAACTACCGCCCAATATCACTCACGTCCTGTATTGGAAACTACCGCCCAATATCACTCACGTCCTGTATTGGAAACTACCGTCCAATATCACTCACGTCCTGTATTGGAAACTACCGTCCAATATCACTCACGTCCTGTATTGGAAACTACCGCCCAATATCACTTACGTCCTGTATTGGAAACTACCGCCCAATATCACTCACGTCCTGTATTGGAAACTACCGCCCAATATCACTCACGTCCTGTATTGGAAACTACCGCCCAATATCACTTACGTCCTGTATTGGAAACTACCGCCCAATATCACTTACGTCCTGTATTGGCAAACTCTCTGAAAGAATCCTCAATTCTCGTCTTTATTGGTGGCTTGAGTCTTCAGGTCTGATATCACAGTGTCAAGCAGGGTTCAGGTCTGATATCACAGTGTCAAGCAGGGTTCAGGTCTGATGTCACAGTGTCAAGCAGGGTTCAGGTCTGATGTCACAGTGTCAAGCAGGGTTCAGGTCTGATGCCACAGTGTCAAGCAGGGTTCAGGTCTGATGCCACAGTGTCAAGCAGGGTTCAGGTCTGATGCCACAGTGTCAAGCAGGGTTCAGGTCTGATATCACAGTGTCAAGCAGGGTTCAGGTCTGATGCCACAGTGTCAAGCAGGGTTCAGGTCTGATGCCACAGTGTCAAGCAGGGTTCAGGTCTGATGCCACAGTGTCAAGCAGGGTTCAGGTCTGATGCCACAGTGTCAAGCAGGGTTCAGGTCTGATGCCACAGTGTCAAGCAGGGTTCAGGTCTGATGCCACAGTGTCAAGCAGGGTTCAGGTCTGATGTCACAGTGTCAAGCAGGGTTCAGGTCTGATGCCACAGTGTCAAGCAGGGTTCAGGTCTGATGTCACAGTGTCAAGCAGGGTTCAGGTCTGATGTCACAGTGTCAAGCAGGGTTCAGGTCTGATGCCACAGTGTCAAGCAGGGT